GGCTCCATCTGGATATTTCACCAGTATTTACTAGTAACTCTCCAGCTTATCATTCACCTTCATTCTTTACCTTGTATTCTCAGAAAAAAAAAAAAAGGTTACTGAGCACAGAGACATATGCTGCACCATTCAAAGCAAAAATATTCCTTTGTGTAATTCGTAGACCACATAAGGAGAAGCACAATGCAGCTAACACGTGTGCATTTTCTTAATACCTTTTAATCAATATTGATGAGAGGGAAATGTAGGGGATCCACTCAGTTATTCCTTTATCTTCCTGAAAACTGAAACAGACAGAGCAAGTTCTTTTAGGTCATACACAGTTCTGTTTTTCTTTGGACTTTGTCTTGCTGAAGTTTGACTTTCTGCATTGGGTGCTGCTTTGTTTGGCTCTAGTGACTATTGCAGCTGATGCTAAATGTCCAGATAGTCTTTCAAGCAAACTAGTGGTGTTGCTGTTGGAACTACAGCAGTGTTAGTGAGAAAAAAAAGGACAGTATTTTATCAGCTAGATGCACTTTAAGAGCTGATTATGCTGGATGACTTTGAGTAAGTATAGCACGAGTAGACAATGAGTCAACATTCCATCAAAATGTATGCAGTGGATCAGACCATGTGATATTATTTGCCTTCCAAGATAATCAGATAGATGTTCAAACATTCATAAATTTCCATGACCCGGCTAAGTGATAGGAGACTACACGTTGGATCCCGACCAATCATAGTTGGTCGACTTTCAGGACTCACAATAAATACACGAGAGCTCAGAAAGACGGCGCCATGCAAGGACTGACTTCTCTGTTCCACCTAACAGTACTAACAGTCAGTTACATCTCTTTTGCATTCTGTGCTGTGAGTCAACATCATGCAACACATCAGAGTTGTTAAGTATGGCGAAAGAAAACAAAAAAAGTTTCCCACGCTAGTCTTCGGGACTGATGGGACATTTTGAAGTATCCCAGATGCTGTCTCTGTTGGCTTCCACTGTGATACACCAAATGGGAGAAGACAAGCAATTGCTGGAGCCGTGCTCGTTATTGTTACTAATGTCCTATTATTTTTCTGTGGCAGGCAATGACAAGGATAATATCACACAGTCTGATCCAGGCATTAGTGCAGCGTTTTAAAACTCTCATCAAGCAGATTGCCTATAAGCTGAATCAATTTTACGATCCGGCAGTCACAAATAAAACCTAACAAAGCACACAATACACATGTCAAAGATTATCTTTACTACTAATCAGCTCGGCTTTAAACTACTTGTAGCGCATCGTATGCTATTCGGCACAGCTTTGCTAAAGACACAGATGAGTCACAACTGTATGACAACAGTTTTTGACATGTGCACAAATATTCCCCTCCCTTCACTTTGAGTGCATGAAAACAAAAGAGCAGAGATCCTCAGAAGTCTTTGGGGGATCATTAAACTGCACGTGGATCATGATGTATACCATGAGGAAAAGTGAAGGCCTTGCATTCGGAGCTCAGGCCAAGTCAGAGAGCCAGTAGAGTACCAAACCACTTCACAGGCGCAGGCACAAACAACTTGTCTATTTGAATTGTGTGAATTGTGTGAACTGGATGATGCAAAAATGAATGTCTTGATTTTGTGTCCTGAGCTGTACATTCCCTCAGTGCAACACTCTGCTCTGTTCAGGGCCTGTCGTACAGCCAGTGTCCCAGTTCTCAGAAAAGTTAAAAGCAGACAGAGCTCTTCTATCTGTCAAATTGAATGACAAAGCGTTGCGAGACATCAAACTTTGGACCACAATGCATTATGTTGTGCGGGTGTGGCTGTGCTCGAAATCCTTTCATGAACTTTTATTTTCAAGTATAAACACGTCATTCTTTACTGGTGAGATCAATGCAGGGAGTGCACCCAAAATGACCTCACACAGACAAGGAATGTGTGCGTACAGCAATATATTACTTTGGTTTGCGAAAGTGTGCTCTCTGAATTTTAGTGTAGCAGGTTAATTCATTCAGGAGAAGATGATAACTCCCAACACACACACACACGCACACAGCAGTACACAAATGGAGAAAGAACATGCCGACATAAATTTACTCCAAAGACAATTTATTATGTTTTGCGCCGGTAGAACTCTCAGCTGCTTGCAGGAACACTAAAGCTCATCATGACAGGGTCGAGTTAACCTTGCCAGTACATACCTATCTTTGTGGCATAAAAACACGCAAAAATACATACAAAATGTGGTGCATGACAAAGCAGTAGGTACCACCCCATTAATCCAAAGCAGCCTCAGTCTTGTTTTCCTTAAAGTATAACTGCAGTTTTTGTGATAGGAAATCTGGCAGCTGATGTTGTGCAACTTCAAAGTTATATTTCATGGCCTACTTGAGGCTGGTCGAGCACAGAGAACAATCTTCGCAGGCAGTCTGCCTTGGTATCAATTAAAGCACGCAGTCCAAAGAGACGGAGTAAATCAAACGCAGGATATTGGACAGGAGACAAAGGAGAGATGAGTGGTCCTCTGAAAATTCACGTCTGTCTGAGGGAGTTAAAAGCAGGCAGCCTATCAGTGGATTTATCATTCTAACATCAACATCAGCGTCACATAATGCGTCAAATACAATATCTTTTCCTAATGGACTGGGGATGAGTGACGCTTGAAATTTCACTCCACTCCAGATAGGCAGAGTTCACTTTCAGCCTCCCTGAAGTCTGAGTTGAGGGTTATAACATGCCGGCAGTGATAGTGGCAGCATAGTAGGAGATAGCTGGAGTTTTTCTAGTGGGAAAAAAAGCAAGGAGTGTGACCTGACTTGTAAAGAAAATAAAATGTCAATGAACTATCATCAGGAAATATAGGTATCAACTCTGTTATATAACTTAAGACAGGAAAAAAAAAAAAAAAAAACATACTATTGAACACAAGAGCACAGTATGAGACCTCTTGGGGTGTCCAGTGGTCTGGCAATGGGATTTTTTTGGTCCTGTGGGCTGTGAGGTGGGGACTCTGTGGGTCTGGTTTGTGGTGGCACATTCTTTGGATGATCGATTGGATTGGGATCTGGGGAGTTTGGAGGCCGTTTCAACACTTTGGGCTCTTTGTGCTTCTAATCGAGTTGCTCCTGAGCAGTTTTTGTGGTGTACTGTTCCTCTGGGGGAGGCTACTGCCATTGAGGAGTGCCGTGTGCTTGGTCTGTAGCAATGTTTAATGTGGTGGTGTGTGAAAGAAACGTGTATGAAAGAACAAACAGGAAAATGTTAAGTGTCTGTTTTTGTATGTGTCAATCACCCATTCTGTGAGAGTGTCACTAAAAACAACAGGATCCAGGAGTTGACGTTTTAAATGTACTCAATGAAGACACAAGACAAAAGGAAGTCTTTGCACATCTATTTCATTGCATGGATTCTGGAGGCTTAGATGCTGACTGTATTTATATACTGTGCAGGGGAGGGTTTTGAGTAAATTTATTACTCAAGAAATGATTTATTATCAATGTTTACATTTCCCTCTTTGCAATGTTTCATGTCATCTGCTCTATTTGTATATTCAGTGGTATTTCTTCATTGCAACTGGAAATTCATCCACTTATGCAACCTGTCCTTGTTTTACTGTGAATTAGTGGCCCTTGGGGTCTTAAGAATTCATATCCGAGGATTTTACCCTTTCTGTGTAAACAGTTTTTAGGATATATTTATGGTTCTTACTTTCTGTATGTTATTGAAGTTGTCATTCAGTAGAATAATGTTTGGCAATTTACAAGGGGTATGTTTGGTTGCAGAGTTGCAGCTACACACTATTCATGATGGCTTCTCTTTGAAACAAACCATTTGCTTGATGAAGGTCTAGCACCAAAATGTTGTAAATAAATGTATTTTTGTAATTTAGAGAGTGTTTTTGAAACTTTTGGGAATAAAGATGCAATGATATTTCGGTAAAATAGGTACTTTTTTACCAAGGACACCATAAAGAGGTTCTGATTAAAGCTTCGTAGTGGATATTTTTTTCAGTAAAATGGATGAAGAGTTGTTTGAGGAATATGGATTTATAATAAATCCACATGAAAATTGGTTCATACTAATTAACTGTACTCTTGCAGCAAGTGGGGGCTACTGGGGTGTATGTTATTTAAATTTATCAACTAGGTTACTGCAAATGAAAGGCAGAGAATTGGATTTGGAGTTGAATTCTGTCTCATGCCAGACTCATCTCTCTCTATACATATGTAATAGTATCGTCGGCATGTAACATATAACGGCATATACGCATCATTTATATTAATAACAGAAAACAGAAGGAGAACCAGGATGCAACATTTTATATATATACATACATTACCAAAAATGTAGCTCTTTTAAAATTGTCATTTGTAAGATTGTTTTCTGCTCTATCGCGCAGCATTGTAGCTGACATCTTGTTGTGACTGTGGTAGCAAAGAGTAAATGTACAGCTCAAACAATGCGGTCGGGTGTGTCAGTATGAACAGTAGGAGCATCTGTGTGTCTGGCAGCCAAAGAGGTTGCACCCAGTTGATGTCATAGCGCTACGTGCTGATCTGCTAAGTAGCGGCCACAGTCAGTGATATATAAGTACATCTGTTCCACATACCGGACAAACTAAATGTGATGCTCGACTATCCAGAAAGCACAAGAGATGGAAATAAGGGCTAATACAGTTGTTTTTGGCAAAGCTAACAGCAATTATCTGTAACTAAGTAAATATTGAATCACTCTAATGAGGTTAAATTAATCTAGTGAGAGACAATCATACAAAACACTGATGTTCCTTTGTCTCAGTCAGAAAAAAAAAACTGTATATACAGGAAATTTAACAAAGATGAGTGACCTGAAATGGGCGGTTTCTTTTGCAATTGGAAGTGCAGCTGTAGAAAAACTTCTGTTTGTGATCTTCGTTAAACCAATAGCAAAAAACGAAAATCCTCGGCTCTCCTTTCCCAGTGAAATCTCAGCAAGTGGTTTGGAACGGCCTTAATGAAACCAGAATGGTCTTTGCAGGAGCCAACTGTTGTTATGCAGTCATGTTGGGGACACTGTGCCCAGCAGCATTGGTGTCATGAGACAAACGAGACCCACTGCTGGACTGAAACAGCCTGAGCTTCCCATCCAGGGTTCCAGTCAGCAGCTAAGAGAGACAGAGAAGAAAAAAGAATGACATCATGTTCAGCTTTTACTCTTGTGGATGGTCTTTCTCGGGAACTGTGTCACACATCATTCTCTTTTTTACCCCTCTCTCCTTTTAGAGGGCTGAGTTGCGTAACAGCACACCTGCTTTCTTAAGGAAGACGAGCACCATGGAGGTTAAGATCCACACTGTGTTTTCCATTGAGATGCTTAATTTTCCATACCTGCCATTTGTCACGAAAAAACATGAAGCGACCTGGCCCAAACTCTGTTATATAACTTTGTTTTATCAGACGTGGGGGTTTGAGGTTCCTGCCAGTACTGGTCATGGTGAGTCAGCTGTTTACAGATTAATAAGGCACCCACACATCAATAAACTAACACCAATCCACACCCAAACACACACACACACACACACCGCACTCTGACCAACATGTGGATGCTGCACACAGCCAAGAACACATGACAATCAGTTCTTGAGTCTATTTCTTAGTGAGAAGTGTGCATTATCTCATCTCTTTCTATCAGCCAGTAGAACAGATGAGGGTGAGGAAGCATTACCTCAACACTTTGACACCCAATCAGCAGCAATAGTACTGGGAAACTCTCTACTGGAGGTTCAGAACGAGCTTATGAAACATATTCATAGCTGCAGCTGCTCAAAACAGAATATACGATATGACAGAGCTATCATAATTCAAGCTATTCTCAAATGGCTATCTTTTCATTTAGTTTTCAAGCATATGTGAAACCATTTCAAAGCTACTTCAAAGTCCTAACAGAGTTCCTAAATCCTAGATGATGACAAGTGAGGAAAACGCAACAAATTGCAAGTGGGAATGCTTTGGTAAATGTCCATGCTTTGATCAATATCATTTATGGCTATTTCATGGATGCTAAGTGGTTGTAAAGACAAAGCTTCTTTTTAAAGTATACCAACAACAGGAACTTTGGAAAACAACAAATTTGCCAAGCGGTGACAAAAACCACATTTGGTACAACAATAGAACTTTTTTTTTTTCCTCCATGCACTAAAGCAGTTCTGAGCAGGAGAAATAATCTTTTACCAGTAAGCAGATGCCTGTGCTGGGAGTCACAGGGCTGAGGTTGGATGACTCAAACATACTAAACTGGGATGGCTTCAATCTGCCGTTGACGAGTAAAAGTTACAGCCTCTCTCCTATAGACACACAGAGGAAGTGTGTCCAAAGAATTTTTTTTCAAACGGCAGCCCAACAAGCTAAAACACATTAAGTCTACAAAAGCATGTGTTGTTCTAGTGATAGTCTGACAGCTCATTTCACTATCTCTTCCATGTTCAAGAGTCTTCTTTCACCGCAACCTCTCGTCAGTGACCTTAATCAGCAATAGCCAAGCTGTCTGGGTGCTGCCCTCGGGACTGCTGAAGAAGCTACTTAAAACTTAAGAGGGTCAAAGAGCTCCATTAGCAACTGCTGCTCTCTTCATCAGCTGTCATCCAAAACCATTATCACCAAGGTATAACACTCATGTAAACATGTAGTGTAGAGTTGAAAGCAAACTGCACATTTTTTCTCCAAAAAACTAAAATGAATGGAAATTTTTTACACTCGTAGCAAACTGAAATCCAACACATTCCATCTCTGCAACCTTCAACCTTTGTCTAATTAGGCTGAAAAAAGAGCTAAAGTGATGAGGACTGACGGTTCTGGTTGACCTTCACGGTCAGAAGTCAGAGGTTGTTACGAGCTGATTCACTGTAGACGTACAGACTGGGGTCATGGTGGGCCGGAGCAAGTGAGTTATTTGGTTTTCCTCAAAATCCCACTTCTAAGAAACACAGTTTTCATGAGTCTGATTTCAGCTAAAAGATTTATTTGCCATGTCAGACATCTTTATGCAGCATTGAAACTGTTGTTATATACTGTAGGTTTTTCAGTCATACACAAACACATGTTGTACACTTTTCTTTCTTTTTTTAATATGAGCTGTAATAATCTCAAAGACATGGTTCATGCATGAGAAATTATGTCGGGCTGCTTCTTCTTCTGGGATTTTTGTTTTCAAGTTTAAAATCAGATTGAGATTGAGACGGTTCGTCACACGTGTTACATAATCTAAGTTATTGTCGGGTAAGTTGGCGCAATACCACAAAGAAAGACCTTAAATCAATAGTTTAAAGCAAAAAAATATATGAAAAAAAAGATTAAAAACACAATGTGGATTAGATTTTCAATGGTGAACACCTAACATTGAAATATTGGAAATATTCTGGAAAACAGAAATTGTCTGTCTGGTATGAACAAAAGTTAAGGCTTTGATAATACGGTGATGAATGTGTTTTCCCTCCCAAAGGATATCATACATCACTCGTAGAGCACAGACTTCACCTATGCCAGCATACCAAGATGTTCTGTACTGAACATGCTGAGAGGGGAAGGAAGACATGAAGGATGGGACAAGGAGCAGACGGTCATCACGGTTATTTGTGTCACGGGTTTTTATCAACACGGGGTCAGGAAAAGAAATGTATCGTCTGTTGCTTGTGGTGATAAATTGGGAGCAGCTTGTATGTATGTACGTATATGATCACACTGAGATCTTTCTAACCTCCTATCAATCATTTATGCACGGAGACATGGACAGGCCCATCTGTGTGCCTATAAGGAATCAAAGCTTCCATGTGTTTGTGCTTGTGAATGAGAAGATTTATACCGCTCATGTCTGTATGCTAAGTATGTAGCTGGTGTCAGCAGCCGGTTAGCTGAGTTTAGAATAAGGGCTGGAAAAAGCTGCAAACAGCCAGCCAGCAAAACCAGCATCGTAAAAGACTTTAAATGCAGTACGCTTGTTTTCTGTCTTATGTGTGACATGCATTTAAAGTGTGAATACAAATATGCATATCCTTGTCCAGCATGTTCTGTGTATTCAGTGACAGGAAGGGCAACACTTTTAACCAACACCACAGACCACTCAGAAAATTCTGTCTACTATGTGTGAACGGTTTTGATACTTTAAAAAAATGCCTCTTGTGACTTTGCAACTTCCTGTTCGTTGCAGTTCCAGCTGTGCTGAACACAGGCCAGTTGATTTCAGGGAGGCTGTCTCTGCTCAGTCTGTGTCTCACTCTGATGTGACATTCTGGAGCAGACAGCAGAGTCCACCTCTGTATTTGCTGTCTGGCCACTACAGTAAGAACAGAGCGCTTCACTCCCCGGGGTCAGGCAAAGAGGAAACGAAGAGATAAAATACTACGAAAAGGACCGAGGAGCAGAGAAGGACTGCTAATCTGCACATTCTTCAATGTCAAGAATGCCCAGTGGACTTGAACACAGTCAAAGACTGTCAAACCTGTTGAACTGAGGCGGGTCGCACCAGCACACACTGTAATTGTACACATTTCTGCTTCTACTTGATCTGAGAAATTGCTTCATTGTGCTTAAAAGCTCAGACCTTCTATGGCTATATTGTGCCACTGTCAACTATTCATATTTCTACGAGTAGCTGGTATTGGTTTCCCCTGGTGAGTCTGTTTTTGTAGTCTGTTTTGCAGGGGCACCGTTGCTGCATCTTGGGCTTAGCACTGCCCAGAACAACTGTAAAGTAGCACAAACAAGCTTATTGCAGAATATTTATGGGTCCTGCTATTTTCCAACGTTAACACAGCGCTATGAAGACAGGTGTGAGGGACTACCCTGTCTGTCCGTCTTTCTGGATGTCTGTGGACAGATTTTGTTAATGCCACAGAATCACAACCATATAAGATACTGTAACTAAACTTAACAGCCACATAGCTGAGATCAAAATCAAGGACGGGTATGAGCCGACCCAACAATACTGAATACTCGTGTCATCATGAAAAAGTGTAATAAGGACTTATGAGTCCTCATGGCTCAGAGTATCAACATGTTGACGGACGTGACGTCTTAAGTTTTTGCCTGTTTTATATTATTTTGATTCAAGTTTTGTGTCAATCAACTTGTTTTAGGGGGAAAAAAGTCAAGAGCATAGCTTTGGCTATGTGTTGAGACTGATCCATTTACTGTGTTACTCATCATAGCTATCAAATGCTATTTTAATACATAAAACTGTGCCATTATGCATCATGTGAGCCAGACACATTTTTGTTTATTAAATGGTTAAAAAATAATAGAAAAATGCGTTCTGTCAAATAACTCAGTGCCTTTACTGCATGTGGACTGATCATCGTTCCTGTTGTGTGCAGTCATCCTCCACAGATAGAATTTGGATTAGAAGTCAACCCTGCCAGGAAGCGCTGGAAGCTTGATGATTTTAAATGTAATTTTATATAAAACAGAGAAAAGCAGGATTTTTTTTTGCATTTGAGAAGCTAAAAAAACATCAAAAATGTTTTAACGATTAATCGTTTTGTTACCAGCGATGTTTTCATTCATCAGATAATCCGATTACCTAATCATTACAGCTTTAGTGGTGTCGGTTGCACCATGCTGCAGCCCTGGGTCAAACTTCCTTAATGTCCCAGTCCATCCCTGCTAAGGAGTTTGAATAAGTAACGCCAAATGGCCACAAATAAAATGATACAGTAAAAACGGTCCAGTGGGACACCAGCTGCATTTTTTTGCCTGCCTGCAAAGAGCAAAGATGATACAAGCTGACATATGGAGACAAGAGTAGCCCTGAGCATGAAAGCCGCCGAGATGATTCACTCTCTGTTCATCTTCGATTGGACGATAATACGTGTTAAGTTTTACAGACAGCTGCTTGTGTCAGTACGAGGTCACAGTCCTGCACTCACTCCAACACATGAAGTGAAAATGAGATCCAAAGTACTTGAGAAAAAGAGTTCAGAAACTTCTCGCTTGGTCCAAAAACTGAAACCGAAGACAGTGTTTCATGGGCCCTGTTTCATTCTGGCTCTATCGCTGAAATAAAAACATTTCTAATTTGGCTTTCATGTCGCGTGCCATTCCAAGAAACACACACACACACACATATGCATTTAAAAACCGAACAGGTGGTTCAGTGTGTTGCTCAAGGGTACGTTTGCTGAAACAAACAAACTTGTTACACAACAGAAAATCTGATATGAGAATGTGTTTAACCAAAAACAGTTGTTAATCTGATATATATTTTTTTCAAACTACTAAAACTGTTGTTTGGTCATCTTCACACTTTGATTTTTAAATGCTTTGACATTTAGGCAACCTTTCCACTGAATGGATCTCTTTTGTAACTTTTGCCAGCAAATAGCCAAGAGAAACTGCATATAGCGTGTTGTAAAGTAATATTTTGCCGATAGATTTATGGTTTAGTTGGCAGATTGCAAAGCACCATTTTTTTCTAGTGTCCCATTTTGACTTGAATTCTTTTTTTGATTGTTTGATTTGTGTTTAGCCCTAAAATTGTCATTAAAATTTAGTTTCTTACACATAAAAGGTGGCCTTCAAGAAGAACTAGTTAAATCTGGCGACACTTTAACATACAAGAGATTAACATGAGCAATGAGAGGATGGAGATGGAGACAGGTTTTGAATGCTCACTGATATTCAGTAAAATCAAGGTGAACATGAGGCTACTCTACTGACCTTTAAAAGAACTTATCTTCACTAATAGGCAAGATCTGGCTAATACTATGAGGGCATTTCCACTGCTGATGTGGAACAACGTAATTGGACCTATCAGCAGCTTGGGATGAGACAGTACAGAGATCTGAGTAACCCAAATAGAGCAGAGCGTCATGAAGTCTGTTTCTTCAGAATGACCTAGTAACCTGTTTCGTGAAGTCACTGTTTCTTTGCCTCCGGCTACTGCATTCTTCTTCGATTTTTCTTAGTATCCCAAAGCTCTTAAATTGAAGAATCCTTTGGGGGAGGTACCTGCAGGTACAGTACAACAACTGGTTGGTTTTCAGGTACTGACAACAGCTTCATTTGCCTGTAACGTAAGCTCAGTGTATGTCCGACAAGCACAGACAACAACACTCTGTTACAAGTGTGAAAAATACTTCTGGACAAATTTGCAAGTCAACTTTTATGGTAGCACATTTAAGTCCAACACAGAGAAGCTTGCAAAACTTTACAAAGGCATGCCATGTGAAATCCCGCAAGGTTTTACAAGACAACAAAGTGAAGTGACAATAAAAGCTGGGACCTCTCATTACAGACTTAAAGTACAGGAATAAACCTGAGGGAATGAACCCCAGAGGTAGATCCGCCTGCTTGATGGTCTTTTAAGTATTAGGGTGGAAAACATGAGTGAAAAATGAGTGGAAAATATGCATTGCATTATCTGTCTGTGTCTCGCATCAGAAGGTTCTCACAGCAGTAAATATGTACAACATCTGGACCTCAAATGTAGCTAAATAGCAAGGTGAGCACAGGTTGGGGACACTTTTTGCCAACATTTTTTATAGGAGAAAGCACAGGCTCAGGAAATACAGCAATGTTACCATTATATCGCATGGCCTTGGTCTCAGTTAACTTTAAGACATTTCCCAGGACTACCTGAACTTCTAATCATTTTTTATGCATCTCTTTTTTTGGCCAAAGAAAGAGAAAGTAGAAAAAAAAGAAAGAAAAAAAAAGAAACGATATGCATGCATCAATTCAAGTCAGATAAACCAAATCAAGTGGAACTAAAACTGCCTAAGCAACAGGAAAGATACACTTTTCAGTTGATATGAAGTACAGCTGTCTGTAGCTCTCAAAGTATGTATAGAGGGGAAATTCTACACTTTCAGCAATATTCAATAAGTTTCCATACATTTATATGAGTACGCCACTTAAGGCTTAAAACAAACCATCTGCATGACAAGTGGGGAAACAGCATCTGCCGGCAAAAAGCATGTGACAAAATTTTGGAAAATGCTAGTAAGTAGGCCTTGAGGAGCCGAAGAATGAATAATGAATCACTACCAAGAGCGGTTATAAAGTGCTATGGATGGAATCATAACATTTACTAAGCTTGCATGTCAAGAGATCCATCTCTAGTGACAACTGAGAAAAACTGCCTCCCCTGACTGGTTCTGTTAAACCACCCCTGAAAAGATCTGTGAAGAATGCACATGAATGTCCCCAGCTGTGTGGTAACTGAGTTGAGATAATTGCTTGACAAACACTGCAGGAGACGATTTGCCAACACAGAACACGTGTAATAGGAAACTGCAATTCAGTCCACTGAACTCCACCAAAACTCAACAAAACAGGCAAAAATGACTAACCTCATCCACAAAAGACCCAGATCTGGTACTTAACTAAATATTTAGATGCCACAGCTCCAGTGCATGTCAGCATTGAGATGCAGTACTTATACTTATACCAGCTTTTCACCTTGTTTGAACTAAGATAGTCCCACGTGGACATGCTGATTTTCATTGTGGGAAGACTTGTCATGGCTCTTTATTTAGCGAGTCCTCCAGCTTTTGTCATGCGTTCGTGCATTTTACAACTTTTCCTCGCAGGTTTCTGTATTCTCAGAAGGGCAGTGACACTAACTGGAGAATTGGAACAAGTACTTGCCAAGAAGAGAAGATGCCATGAAAAAAACAAAGATTCAGTCTGATACATGATACATACAGTAAATCGTGTATGTAAATCATTTTTTGTAAAAGTAACTATGTTGACAAAAAAAAGAAAATCAAGCAATAAGCTTAGAATTCCATGTGGAAATAATTTGTTATGGTATTACTGTAATATTACTATAGTACGAGTTCACATGTGTAATGTAATTCATCATACACATTTTCACTTTGATAAGATTTAACTAATGTTTACTCTATTAAAATACAATAAAGGCTCAGTCAATTGTACCAATACTTCTTAATTTTTTGCGTTCCTGCTTGACCGCATGTCCCATCAAATAAAACAGAATGTGCAGAATACTGATGCGGAGCAAGCATGCTCTGACTGATGAAGTGTGTCTTCAAACTCTGCAGATCACTGTAATTCAGCCAGTTAATGGCCATGGACCAAACTTTCCACTTTTCAGACTCTGAAATCTGAATGTATCATTGTGCCGCAACGTTGAACTGAATGGAGTTACACAGATGGACATGCAGATTTAAAACATGTGCCTCCAGTCGAAAAGACAGTCAACAAGTCTCATGAGGCGTCCAGCAGAGGTTGTGATATTATATTTTAAAATGTTTCTTTTGCAATACTACTTGCTTTGAAGAGCTCCAAAGGAAATCCATTAAAACAATAAAAACATTTGTAGGGGGAATTGTTTCGTTCTAAAAATGCTCTGGAGTTTTGTAAGAGACATTGGAAGGATCCTCGAATAAAGTAGCACTGTAAACTCAGATTTCCTATTTTCCAGTAATAGCAGGATAAGACAAAACTATTTTCTGTTATGTGTGAGTTTTTCTTTTTTGAGAGAGAGACTCCTTTCACTTCCATGCTTTCTGGGGATGTGTGCCAGTTTATACTGATAAAAAATAATCATATGGAGACAATCTGAAATAAAGAGATCACAGCAAAAAACTGAAGCCTCCAAAGCATTGTTGACATCTGACACTCATACAACACCATAATTAGAGAATTTTGTCTGTGCTGCATCTCTTTAGACAGAACCCAACAACATGGTACAATGTTGAACTGTATAGGATCCAGTAAAAGTTTGATAAGGAGTCAGCAGAAAAGGTGAAAGGCAACTGGACAAGCACCAACGTGTACATGTTTTGTTAAATGTGGAGCTGTGCAGCCAGTCACAGCCCTGCAGTCAGACAGTCATTCAATTGGATCAGCACAGTAGACAAAGCAAAGCCACTTGATCCCACAGGGTTATGGCACGGAAGAGCAGTGCTCATTATCTGATTGGACTATAAACTAGCCACCACTGGTTACACCCACAGAGCGTTTGTGGGATATTCATTTTAAATCAAAACGGTAATGTTCCAGGACGCTAACATCGAGACAAAAGCTTATTGTCTCAGTGGTGTTTGTTTTCATGCAGCACTTTCATTGGGTTTGTACACACTGAAATTCTAGGGTGGTAAAACTTTTATAGAAAATAATTTGTTAGTAATTTCAACATCCTATGCACTGTGTATGAAACCTACAGTGAAACAAGCATATGCTATACACAAGTGCACCCTGAACTTAGGAATGGTCTCAATAAGCTTTGCTATGCAACCTCAGCCTGAGGATATCATACCTTCTCTACAAACACTTAGAGTGCAGCGCAAGAAGAGGTGCAGATGTGTTCAACTAACTGACTCTATGCAATAATTATAAAGGTTATTATTTTTTAATCACACCAGTTTCCATTTGTTGTTCATCACAAGAGGTTTGAGGCGTTTACATTGTATCCTGGATACTCACTTTTTGGATGTGTGTTTAACAAAATACACGTTTTTATTAGAATATGACATCTTATCTTTGTTTATCAGCATGTTTCAGTCATGCCTGTTTCACATGTTTTACATAAACATCAATACTTGAATTAAAAATGCCAGTAGGTTGTTTAGGATGCAGCAAAAAAAGAAAAAAAAACAACTTCCAAATGAAATTCGAAAATTATTGTTTAAAAATATTCAGATGCTGCATTAAACAGGCCTTTTGTACCCGGAAATATTTAAGTGTTGGAGTGCATGCACAACCAGGAGCACAGCAGAGAGTAAACCCTGGGGTGTTTATGCAGAGATAACATAGGCCAACATCTGGAAAGCAATCTGTGCTTTTACTTTGACTGTGGTTGTCAGGATGTGAACGAAAAAAAAATTACCAGATTAAAACTATGCTCAACGGCTTATAAAGATGCATTTGACTGATTTATTTAAGTTTAGGACATTGTTTAGCCGTGTGAAATGGGGCATGAAGGCATGGTAGAGTTGTGAGAAAAGAAAGGAAGTGTAAAGATAGATTCTTACCTCTGGTTTGGCTGGGTGGAAAGCAACACTGAGCACTGTGTCTGAATGTTTCTGAAGTTTGTGGAGGTAGGTGCTGCTACGGATGTCATATATGTAGGCCTGAAATGAATGAGATACAGGAACAAAAGCATGAAATGTAATTACTATGGCTCCCATTCTTTTTCATGAAAAGCTTTCCAGGACATTTTCTGTGACATAAGTCTGCTATAACCGATGGGACCTCGACTGACTAGTGTTGGTTTGGCAATCGTCTTCCACATCACATCATTTGTGTATCTTGTGTTTTGGACCCAGACTTGATTGTGAGGTCAAAACACTATGACTGCATACACACACATCAACCTCAGATTTACATGAGCAAAGTAACCTGCACATAATCAAAATTTCAAATAAAGTAACAATAAGAAAAACACATTCTTGAGCAGAGAAGGATTTTAAATGAGCAATGTTTCTAAATTGTTATGAAAACCAACTTGCACACATTGAAACTGGCTTTAGTGTTTAGTCACAGTAAACATTTAATCATTCGCAAATTCAGCCAGTAACAACTCTGCAACTTTGAGGCCAAAATGAACAACCTCCAGCAAAGCTCTGTGGGGAAAATCCTGAAATATAATAAGTCTCCTTGTTCTCATCACCAGGCCAGGGTGAGATCTGAAAAACTCCAGAAACAACAGACAATTTTACTTCGATCTGATCAAAATCATTACACTTACACATGCTGTGAGTATGGTGGGTCACGCTACCAAATCAGATACAAATCTGATGCAAAAAGTATGAAACACAACAAATGCAACAACCATTTATAACTCTGCAACCTTCAAAAATGGTGCCTCATTGCTTTTTAATACTAGTGTGGTCCCAGTACACGGACCTCAGGGTGGAGAGGAATAACATTTCATGGCCCTCTAAATGGGATTATCAAGCCATGCTGACCAAGGCACTCACTGTATTAGCCATTGTATAGCCAACAGGTAAACATATCAGTGCTCTCTGATGGACAAACTGTAGTGAGGGATTAACTGATTTATAAAACAGTTTGTTTTAAGGTTGTATTGAAGGGCAGGTGTTATTCTTTTCCATCTTGTTTTTTTTTTCCATTTCATGCAGTAAGTCAGGAGTTCCAGAAGCTTACTTATGCATTAGGCAAATCTACTCACATGCATAAATGTATGTTATGTGTTGCTCAAACTGTTACCCAGTCATGATAAACAGTATTTTTTTTGTTACATATAACTACTGTCGTTGTCGGAGGGCTTGTACTCGCCACTATTGATAACATCTATATAATTATTTGGTTAGAACTACTTTTAGCATTTAAGGGATCAGGTCATATACATTTCTTTGTTTTCTGATTAGTTGTGATTTTATCTGGCTTTGTAGTTTTTAATTTGTTTTGTCTTCACCAACCTGACATGATTCAGGGTGCGTTCAGAATCCCTCAACTTGTTGGGACGTTCATCGAGCTTCGGGGACTAAACTGTGACCCTGCTGTTCTAACTCCTCCTGCTCCCTGAACATAATTTCAGCTGCCATCTGTTGTAGAGATCTCACAGCTTGCTCTCAGCAAAAGACAAGAATGTCAAAATTATTTTCCAGGATATCACAGTGGTTTTCAAGACATTCTACTCTTTCTCAGAATTTCCAGGAGTTTTCCAAGGCTGAATACAGGGGTCTAACAAATTGTAGGTTTTTCGGATTTTCCAGGATGAGTGGGAACGCTGAGCCATGCAGTGATGTACAGATGTAAGACATGATGCATAAAGGCTGGTGTAAGATGAGATGCAATGCACAACGGAATTCAGACTGAACAAGAAACACTTAGTAGCTACAGTACAACTGAATTAACAATCAATGGAAAACACAAGCAAATGCAAACAGATGAATCATTTTAAATTTCAGGGAAAACTTTGTGCTTATCTTGATTTGAGATCTAACACATCTTGGCTACAAAAGGAACTTTTCATACACATAAAGTTAGCATGCATTCAGCTAGTACTGATCGAATGGGGTGAAAAATGAAGTATTCGGTCTAAACAACACCTTAATAACACTCAGATTTACTGTAAATATCATCACACTGGTTAAACTTGACTTGATGACCATCAGGGGTTTTTAACTATTTTCAGAGATTGGCTAGACAGCAAGACTTGGCTCTGGTTGATATCAGACACATAGCAGACATGTGAATCACGTAATATCACGCCAGAATTAGTTTTCCCAACTGCTGTACTAAACTTAAATGACTCTGGAGATAAGCTCAACAGAGTAATAAAAATTCTTTTTTGAATGGAAATAATCAAAAGATGACAGTTTTCTGATTCCCTGATTGCATGCTTTGGAATAACTGTTTGTGTTAAGGTAACATTAAACCAGGAAGCTGCACACAGATTTCTAAACACTAAAAACTGTAGAAAAAAAAGTGTAAAGTTGAAAACATCAAAACATACAAAACTGCTGTAACACTTGGGTATGTCACACAAATAGCATACAAAACACTGAGTACCTCAAAGTAAAGCGAACATTGACACTGATTACTAATCCTAATGAACCCTTACATATATATTACTGTTATATTCCATTTTGGGGTAGTTAAAGCCTTTTTTTGCTTATCATCCTTGCAGGAGTTAAGCAGGTGTGGATTTTCCACTTGACCTTGGGGGATGAAAAGACCCTTCTGCGTCGTGCTTGTACAGACCTCTTCAATCAACACTTACGTTGAAATCTAGGAATAGATATGTGATTGTGTTATCAGCTTGTTAGCACAGTTTTTCTCTGTATATAATCAGTACATTTTCAGACAAATTTGTTTGCTTCTGTGCCACGAGCACAGATAAAACCAGATGTGGGGATGTTTGTTACCAGATGACGACTCATCAGATTCCTGCAGCTGTTTTGCATTATCTTTCCCCGAAAAAAAAAGAAGAAGCTTCAAGCGAGTTCTGTCAAAAAGGTCCATGAGAAGAGTGACTCCTGTCCAAGGCACATGAAGTGTGCGGTGCCTGAAAGGGAATTAGGTACTTGGAAGAAAAAAAGTTCTTTTAGGAATACTTAAATATCACATGGATCCGCAGATGTGTCAGTTTATATCAACAGTAACTGAAATAGGGAGCAGGGGGAATAGAAAAATGAATCACCAGACATACATCTCGATTAACAAATTAAAAACAAAGCTGCTATCTTCTAAATAATCAATTCAATGTCAGCTGCAAGAAGGGGAAATAAGGTGAGAGAAAACACAATATATTTTAACTGTACTGTACATATAACAGGTTAACATCGAGCACGCTGAAATTATATTCCACTTAGATTGCTTTTGGCCTATGCTTTTTGGAAAATGTGTAATATGATCTAGGGAGTCTTTTTTAGAGTATTCAGCTTCTTTTTTTTTTCCATGATTGCTTTTTGATATATTAAGACAAGTATAAATGTGTCTGGCTTATAGAAGTCTCAGGGTAGCTACAAATAAATACGATGTAGCTCACTACCGTATACTCTCCCAATTTCCAAGAAATGCTGGAAATGTCCGATCTCGACAGAGATGCTCTCAAATGTCCGTGCCGTGCTGAGTCCCCATAATTAATAATAACCAGCAGCATGCATATATTATTCCACTGCTTTCAACAAGCACGTACACCAGAAGAAAAGAGAGATGGATAAGGAAAAGGGAGGCTGTCTTCTGAAAATGTCTTGAAAGCAAGTATAAGGCACGGTCTGGAAAAGCAATTAAACAGTTCTGCTTCGACATGACTGGTGAATTTGACTTCTTTGGAAAAAGGCTTGAATCCAAAAAATAATCTCTGAGTCAAGCACAAACAGTCCTTATGTTGAATGGAGGTAAACCTGATAAAGATGCACGGCTGTTTTCCTGCAGTTTTTCACCTCTACTGGGTCAAGTAAGTCAACATTTGAACTTTTGTGATGGAGGTCAGTAGCTGGATATAAGAGGGTAAAGGAGTCCAGACCTGGGGTGCCACACAAGACAAAGCACTGGCATCCCTACTGGCAAGTTCCAAGTCTGAGACAGAAAGAATATTTGAGAGAATCAGAGGGAGCAGGGAAACAAGTCGATATGGAAGAGATTTGGGGTATTTAAGGGGAGTGAGATCATGCAGGGCTTTGAATGTGAGGATGAAAAAGTCAATCCTGTAGGTCACAGTGAGCCAGCTGAGCTGAATGTGTGGGGGTATTATGTGGTCAGTGGATTTGGAATCAATCTTGTGGGATCTTTCAGCCATAAACTTTTGAAACGTTGCGCCTCTCACTGCTCACTGCTCTGATTTCATAAAACTAAACACAGTAGAAGCAAACAACACGATGTACACTGCAGCCTCGTCAGGCCTGCTCATTTGTGATGCTAATTTCAGCAGCAAAGTTGTTCTTTTAAGTTTTCTTGATAGTCTGCAAATCATCACAGCTCATGTGACACAAGTATTTACAGTTCTAAATCCATCACATATATTGCTTAATTCGTGTGTGTACCTGAAGACAACAATATAAAACACCCACAACAGGGAAGCATATTAACAGGTTTAAAAGAACCCATGAGACGAAAACATGATGTAGGCCCAAATCAGGCCTTTAATAGCTTAAACATCACAGCTTAAATTCTATTATCTAATCCTGAAAGCAGGGGAGGGGATTTGCATCGAGCCTTCCTATACAAGGAGGAGTTAACTGTAGGAGAGAAGCCAGAGGAAATGTCACATATGTCATGTCACGGATGTCATCTATATACATATTTACAACCATACATGCATAGTTATCGTCTGTGTGTGGAATAAATACTTAAAAACTGAAAGTACTGCCTTTGAACAGTGTGTGCCATGACCCCATTAGCAGTTGCCACGGATATCTTAAGAAAGCCAGATGGTCTTTTAAATAGATTCAGTACAACTTATGAGACTAAACTGAAAAAAAAGTCAACAATATTTTTGCCCATTTTTTTTTAGCAAAAACAAGTCAAGGAACAGGCTGGATGCTACAAACTTTTGGGCTAGATTTCAAAACCTCACAGTTCTTCTTGAAAAATGTTTTTAATCCCTTCTGTGCACTTGATATCAAGCGCTAATATTATACGCATTGTATATATAATCATACAGTTCACTGGAGAAGAGAGAAGAAAAATGCACAACTTACACAGTTGTCCTCAGAGCCTGAGGCAATGAACCGGCCACATGGGGAGATGGCTAAAGAGCACGGATGGCAGCGATTTAGATGGTTGTCATAGCGCCGTACACACCTGGTGAGGAGATGTACACAGTGGTGAGAACCAACCAGACGTAAAGGAGAGCCTCAATGTTTGACTGATGTTGTAGATTGTATGTCATAACACAAGATCAACAGTTTTTCTTGGTACTGAGGTAATAGATCAATATACACATCATTTCTGGCTTGTCTCATTGCAATGGTCAGTTAAGACTGTACTATACGTGTAGTTTATGTTTAGTCCATTAGAGATGAATTTATCCTGAGCTCTGAGAAGAGATAGAAAGGGACATGTTTGATCAAACATTGCATATATCTGCTTGAGAAGTGACCTATCTTTGGAGTGAATGGTGTTTCACATGAGTGCAGCCATTTTTGTGTGCAGTTTTATGTGGAAATGATCAATTGAAGGTGCAAAGTGTCAGTATACGGAACGGAAGGAGAATGCCCCTCCATGGATTTTACAAACATTTAAACCAGCTGAGCACCAGGAGTTGAGCATGACTCAAGCAAAACACAGGAAAGAGAGCGCATTAAATGACGAATGGCCCCCCATGCAACTTTTGAGCTGTTTCATTTGGTTTTGCAACAGCATGTAATGTCTTTACAATACCACTAACAGCTCGTGGAGCTCGGGTCTCTATAAGGGCTGGCATGTTGGCAGGCCAGTGCCTGACAAAATCTGGTGAGAGCATGTCTTTGACATTCACATGCTAATGTCGTTAAGCTGGACTAAAAGTAGGTCATATTCACTGGTGACCATGAAGAAATCTGATCTACCCAGTACCAGTGAGTTCTTGAAACGTACATGAGGTGGATACAGGGGCACACACTAAAACAATAAAATTCAAGTTCATGCAATTGGTAAGCAATAAATACAAACTTTATTGAGCCTATAATGTTGAGCTCTTGCTAATACTGTGCAAGAGAAGTGCTGATTCAGCTTAAAGGGATTTCTGATTTTTTTATTGTATTCAGTGGCGTTATGTTATTTGGTGTGGTGTTTCTGTCATTTTTCCATTCTAATCAGAATCAGAATCAGTTTTATTGTCCTTGCACATTTCACAAGTACAGAGCAACGAAAAAAGCTTACTAAGATGACGATAAATGCCTCGGAAGAGCAGATAACAAAATCTTGAATAGCTGCTGAAAAAGGGCCACCTGACTGAAAAGTAATAAACTAGTAAACAAAAAGGCATATTCTGTTGCATGTCTTTGCACGGTGTCAAGACTTAATGAAAGATTATTAGCTCTTTTGTGTGAATAGTGAAAACAAAGACTCCCAAAATAAAATTGGGTATGGTTGACAGTGTAGACAATCAAATGGGGAAAAAATAGGCAACAAGACAAACACTGCAAGACAACCTACAGGTCTGACTTTGGAGATAGTCCACAATTGAAAAAATAAATAAATAAATAGCATGAGAAAATATCTATTTTTTAATGTTTCACACAATTTGGTTTTGTAAATACTTCTACATTTCTTTAGGTTTGTTTAAATTATAAATATTGGCAACATCTGACCTATTTTCCTTTAAATGCAAAGCAAGATGAAGTCAAACGCCATACAGTGGAAAATTTGTGTCTATAACAGAGCTGACACAATATGTCACTATCACGTTAATAAAAACTACTTTAGCAGAGTCAGAGTAAACACTCTTCTGGTTTTCTAGGTCAGAGTTTGGTTCTAATGTTTAGACTAAAGAAGAGGAGATGCTGGCATGACTTTCACACACATACATTCTCTGTGTTATGTGAGTGATGACAAACCGGCATTTTCCTGATGACTAACGCAGACTGCACTGGAGGGTCTGATCCTCTTGAGTGGGAGCCTATACGGTTACTGAATGCACCTGGGTATTCAGTGTCAGCCATCAAGGTAATCAGCAGGCTAATCATAGCACATTACTTCCTGCCAGTATATTTTAACTGAATCAGGGTATATCAGGTGAAAGCTTGCTGGTCTCCTGTAGTATTTGATAGTGTTTAATATAAATACATTATCTACGTATTTTTTGTTTCGCAGAACTTATTGCCCCACATTCATTTATCAAATGATGGAAAGTTGATCTGATTTAAGGGGAATACCTCACAGAACTAAAGAGAAACAGATCACCATCTGTTCTCTATCTTTAGAATCAGCATCTGAGTGGGTCTGATTTTAAAACCATGCTAAATGCTGGTGTGTAGATGCTGAAACTAGAACATTGCACGCTTAAACACATCATTTTAAAACACAAAGGACAAGGAAAGGGCGTGAGCTTTGAAAAAATAAACTTTAACCACTCTAGTGGTTCTGTCAATGGAGTTGAGTGAATAACACTCCTCTATTAACTCTATTAACTGTTCTGTGCGATGGCAACGATCCTTAACAATGTTTATGGACAACAACAGTTGTAAAATAATTCAATTCATGACATTTCTTTCAACTATCTGACCAAACTTCAGCTGTAAAACTAAACATGACTGCTTATTTAATCAGTCAGATTTGTCAGAGACTGCCTGATCTCATTGGTTTACAGAGTAATCTTATTCTCTGCCTGTCAACCAATGCATTTCTCTATAACTGATGGAAAACCATAAAGTTCCATTAAAATTAAGTTTCTTTCTGCCCGATTTAACATCAGGAAAACTACATTAACAACATTATTCTCATGTGTCTCAATGTTTTCTGGAAGTTTGCTCAATATTTGAAGGGTCAATTCAGCAAAATCACAAAAGAAAAAAAACCTGTCTTCTCTCATTGCCTATTTCTAACATCAATCTAACACAGTGAGGGAAATGGAATTTTGTGTGTGATGATAATCAAAGGAAATAATCAAATAAATCATAAAAAAAAACCCCACAAGCATAAAAAGTAATGTGTTTTCTGGAATGCACTTCAGTCATTACTGCTGATACACTTTATATATCATGAGGAAATACTGATGAACGTAAAACCTAGAATTGATTTAACTACCTCCATGTGCTCCAAATCTCACATAAAAAGAAATGCATCCATTTAGGAATGCTGTAACTCATTTCATCAGGAGCACGAGCCACTCGGAAAATGAAACTTGAAGCGCTGAGAAAATGCAAAAAAACTAAAAAAAAAAACAACAACAACAAAAAAAAACAGCTCCACATATTCTTTTCATACATCCATATGTTTCACCTCAAGGGAACTGCATCTGCTGAGCTTAATAACAGCTCTCAGAACCAGAAGTTGACCTGGAAACAAGGCACAAATATTTATCAGACGGCAATAAGGTTTTGATGGAGTCTGGGATAGGGAGTTAAACATGGAGGCAGTCTCAGACATGAAAGAATGAAATACCCAATAATGCCTTCTACCGGGCCAAAAAGAACATTCTGAGGTCCAAAAAGGCCTACTTGAATTATCAGCCTTATATGGATTTCTGCTACTCAGATCCAAATAAAAGCTTCCTACTATGGAAATTGAACAATTGCCAGTTCACTCATCAACTGAGGAATGTCTGTGTGAGAATAATGTTGATGTAATTTGAGTATAAGGTAATTTTTCACTCTCAAAAATAGCAGACGAATAAAAAAAAAAGTAACAATTGCACTTGGATATTTATCGCCTGGAGGTACAGGGGTGATTGGAAGTTTGTGAACCCTTTACAATTTTCTATATTTTTGCATAAGTATGAGTGAAATCATTATCAGATTTTAACAGGATATAAGCAGACAAAGGGAACCCAATTAACAAAATTAGTCAAAAATGATTCTACTGGGAGTGTGCTTGGTTGTCTGTCTCTAAGTGTAGCCCTGTGATAGACTGGCGACCTGTCCAGGGTGTCCCCTCCCTTCACCAAGTCAGCTGGGATAGGCTCCAGCAACCCCCCCTCAACTTGACCCCTGCTTGGTCATTTACTTGCATTTGATCCAAAATTACATATCTGTAAGTGGTAAGTGCCTTTGCTATTAGAATTTGGTGTGATCCCTTTGTGTAACAATACCTGTAACTAAACATTTCTGGTAACCGTAGATCAGTCCTGGACAGCTGCTTGGAGGAACTTCAGCCCGTTTGTCTGGCTTCAGATCTGGGATGCTGGTGAGTTTCCTCACATGAACTCTACACTTCAGCTCCTTTCACAATATTTGGATGAATGTCAAGATTTTGACTAGGCCATTCCAAAACATTACCTTTATTCTTCTTTAACTGTCTCTGGTAGAATGACTTATGTGCTTAGGATCATCGTCTTGTTGCATGACCTACTTTGAGGTTCAGTTTATGGACAGATGTCCTGACATTTTACTTTAGAATTCACTGGTATATTTCAAAATTCATTGTTGCATGAATGACAATGAGCTGTCCTGACACAGATGCAGAAAAACAGGTCCAGACCATGATACCACCACCATGAGTCACAGATGGGATAAGGTTCTTATAGTTGGACACAGTGTTTTCCTTTCCCCAAACATAATACTTCTCATTTTAAATGCTCTATTTTGGTCTTATCTTTATGCAAAACATTTTTTTTTCAGTTGCTTGCTGACGTGTCCCCATGATATTTAGCAAATTGCATTTGTGCAGCAATGTTCTTTTTGGAGAGCAGCAGCTTTCTCCTTTCAACTACGCCAATCAAACCACTGTTGTTTAGTGGCCTCCTGATAGTAGACTCTTGAACATTAACATGAGTCAAATTAAGAGGCATTTAATAATTTAGAAGTTGCCTTGGGCTCTTTTGTGATCTCACCGACTATTACATGCCTTTTTCCAGGAGAAATTTTTGTTGGTCGACCACTTCTGGAGAAGGTAATGGTTTTAAATTCCCTCCATTTGTACACAGTCTACGTGACTGCATTGGTGAAGTCCAAAGTCTTTAGAGATGGTTTTGTAACCGCCAGTCTGACAAGCATCGACAACTCTTTTTTCCGAGGTTCTCAGAAATCTCCTTTGTTCGTGCCAGGATCCACGTCAACAAATGTGTGTGTGAAGATCTTGATATTCTTTATTATATATTTATATATATACACACATATATAAGAAACATGGCGTTCAGTCACACCTGATTGGCATCTAATTAACTGAAAGAACCTGACTCTCAGTTTACCTTCAAATTAACAGCTAATCCTACAGGTTTACATTCTTTTGCCACTCACAAATATGTAATATTTGATCATTTCCTTCAAAAAATAAATGACTAAGTCTAATATTATTTATCTCATTTGTTTAATTGGTTTCCTTTCATCTACGTATAGGAGCTGTATGAAAATCTGATAATGTTTTAGGTCATATTTTGACAGATATATGGAGAATTCTAAAGGGTTCACAAACTTTCAAACACCACTGTAACTGACAGATTTGATGAAGCCACCCTATAGCCAGTGAAGGCCTCAATAGATGTAAGATGGCCTGTTATAGAGGTTGAATTTAGTTACAAATAACAATCAGTGAAGAACTTCAGAATTGTATGCCTGTTGTTCCGGATAGCAATTAAAGCCAAAGTCCAAACTGTCATGAAAAAAAAGTATAAGGTATCGATGCTTTCTTGTTTTGTTGTCATGGTGTCTAGTTGCCAAACACTACTCAATGGTGCACACCGGGGTTTTGAAAATGATGTTCCGTCTGAAAAGCCTGACGAAACTAAAGTTGCAAGGGACAATTCTAAGTAAATGTGAATGAATCAATAAATACAGAACTACCACTTTTCTTTCTTGATTTTCATATTAAACGTGAGTCGATAACAAATCCCATAGAACATATTATATTAATACAAACCTAAGCATGCGAAGGTCCCAAATCTTCACACCATCTGTGACTGCACTCGTGAGGAAGAGGTTGTAGGAATCTGGAGCCTGTGTGCTGAACGCGGATCCCTTTAAGATATACACAATAAAAACTGCTTAGTCAGCACATGCTTGACTGAAAATGGTTGTAAATCAGCTGCTCTTATTGTCCGGTGCTGGAAAATGCTGTTGCTGAATATCCTGTGTTGGCAAATAACTCTCATATTATTATTCCAGATAGCATTTATAGAACTTAACTGCAGGGGGTGACCTTAAAAATAGCATTAACACATTGAGACAGGAAAGAAAGGAAAAGAAGAGATTTTCTTTTAGTTTCTCTTTGTGTCATTTTCCATCCTTTCCATCCTTCCACACTCACATAGGCCAAAAGGTAAAGTCTCCACTGCATATCGTATATATAAATTCCATATTTAACTTTCAGATCAAGCTATCAGATGATATGGTCAAACGTGAGGGAGAGAGACAGAAAAAGAAAGCATGTGAGAGAAAGAGAGAGAGAGAGAGAGAGAGAGAGAGAGAGAGAGAAAGAGAGAGAGAGAGCAGCGGTGGGGGTGTTTTTTGTTTAGATTTCCATTAAGAGTGTGAGAACGGGAGTCTGAGAGGGCATTTCCAGTTCCATTTTCCGAGAAGTCCTCTGCTCTGATGAGTTCCAGGTGAATTCTGCGGAGGAGACGATGGAAATTTGAAGTGGGAAAAGCTGCTTCTCGTGCCGCAGTTCCTGATGTTTGGTCCACCTCGGGACGAGAAAGCAACAGGGAAGAGTGATGTTATGAGTGCAGTCGCCAGACTTTGGGCAATCCCTCTGATCCGCAGGTACAAACCCGACGGCACCCAAAGGCCCTCGGGCACCCAGGCGGAGAACCTCACATTGACGCAATAACCAAGCTGAAACAACACACCACAGGCTTTTCAAAATGCATAGCACACAATAGCTGGCGTGACAAAGAACAGGCACCTCTGGGCTGAAGGAATATAGTCAGCTGTGTGCAAGAGTGAATCTCAGTGGAATGGGTTAATGCATTTAATCCATGCCACTAGCTGCAGTGTATCCAGCTAATCCAAGCCGGCCTGAGTGTCAAGTATGCAAAGGTCAACATGCAGAAGTGACTAAACTCAATACCCAAGGGTCATAGGGTACAAGCCGCCCTCACATACAAATACACACTTTTCTGTATTCTATCAAGTTACGTAACTTCTGTAGGATCGGTCATCATTTCCATCAGCTTTGTAATGAAAATTAATGGTTTTATTGCCATTACAAAACTGGCAACTGTTAATACATGTAGAGAAACCAGATGCTTCATTTCACTGTAAAATGTAATGGCAGAAATGTAAATAATATGCAGAAACATGAACTTGGATGTATGATTTTTATAGCTTCATTTTGAGTGACGCAATAGTCTTCATAGCACTATAATGGATGTGGATACAGGCCCAAGCTGTCTATTTGTTAGACACCAGCAAATTGGGTCCACATTGGTCCAAGACAGTGATGTGGGAGTAAGGCCACATAAACCCAAACTGCATCATGGAACAGCATTACTCCAAGGCCATCATCCAGCATGGAATCTTCTGCTGCCATCCCGTATGGCAGTCTTAATCCTGATGCACCAGGGACTTACATTCAAGATGAATGATACTGCTGATGGCATGTCCTGTCTGCCTGTCATGGAAACTTTCGGATAACCATGACCTTTTTCATTCACACCACAAACTAACACTTTTATTCCCTCAAAAGACGAGTCGTGCCTTATGTAACTAGCAAAACGTTCATAAATGTCTTATGTAACATTACAGCATCTGCCAAAAAGTAGACCCTTCAAGAGTAAGATGGAAGACGGGGCTCACACTACCAATTGATGCCAAGCCAAGCAAATTCTTTGCTGTGTGGGTTAGGTCTAAATGTCAGTCAGTCTGCGTGTGGAGTGATGAGATGTCTCTGCCTTTATCCATTCATAAAGGTTTAGGGTTATCATTGGTTTTAGTCAAATTGAAAATGAGAAAAGGTCAAAAACTCAGAAGCATAAGAAGCTTGTGTTTTTGTTTTTTTTTTAGTAAATACAAGTCATTTGAAAGAAAAGCACCTCAGTACACGAGTGTACATAGTTTAAGGTAAACGTTAGGATTGAAAGGGCGAAACTGTGAAACAAATGTAGAATGAAATACTTTTCCATTCTAACAGTCACACTCACAACATAAAACTTCTTCAGAGGTTTCCAGTTTTCCTAAAGACTACTGAAAACTGTTCCTCCACCACGGGACATCTAGGTATTTGTCCAACACCCATTAAATATAAAGGCTCTGATTTTATATAATCAGAAATCTGACCAGAAACATCTAAGGCTGCCATTTGTACCTAAACACCACTATTATTAAATAAAAGATAGAAGTTTGATATAATTAAAGTTATATAGCATTAATAAACCAAAAAAAAAAAGTTTTTCTGCAGTCTGTTTTGTTACAGGAACAATTGAATGGCCTCACCTTGTTCTGTGTGATGCAGTGGACGGCTCTGCTGTGGGCATCAGGCAGCTCGGCAGCAGCTGTACCTTTGTTCATGTCAAATACTTGAATGGACCGATCTGAGCCACACGCCAGGACAATGTCTGAAACAATATCTGTTAAGAGAGCTTACAAGACTTTTTTTTAATTCTCTGACATTTATTTCTAGGACCACCATTCCAAAGTAAAATAATGTTAAGTGGAGCTGCCATGATATACTGCATATAAACAATGCACTGAACTGTCATGACTTCATCCATTGGTGTGTGTAGTAAGTCTTAAACTTGCCATTCACCATCTTGCTTGTAAGAAGCAAAGAGGTGGATCTGAGAACATTTTGCATGCTGATACAGTAGCAACCTGTGAATCACAAGGTAGACCCACCTTCATACAGACCCTAGTTTATCCTCTATTTTTCTCTAAATGGGATCATAATTTACAAAATGAGCATCGTGCTAAATTGAAAGAAACAAAACTAGCGATGGAGACCGTTAACTCCTTAGGAAAATGATAACTGAGGCAATAAATCAATGGAGAAGTAGGGTCATTTTCTCATAAACGTCTATGTAATCATACTTATCTTTGCAACCAGAGGTGTTGCCTCCTGCTGGCAATTAGAAAGAATGCAGGATTAAGTCACATTCATGCTGTTTTACTTTTCATACCCAAAGGCCATATCCTTTTGTACATAGTGTATGGTGCCGACCTGAATCAATAGCGAAATACATTCATTTGCCTTCTTGTAGACAGCTTCTATCCATGTTGTGATACAGAAGTATTTAGGTTTTCAAGGTCAGGAGTTGCCTCCTCCTCCTTTCAACTTGTTGCCTTTACTTTTCTAAACAGTTTTTACAGGTGGAGTCCATAAGAATGGAAAAAAAGACAGATAGCTAGCACACACCAAATTTACCACCGTTACTCTCTTTCCTTCTATTTCCTCTCCCCCTCCCTTTCCCTGTCTTGTGCATGATCACAAACATGCCCAAGCTTGAAAGTGCAGAGACACACTGGAATATTGTTGTCTGAGCCACTTTGTTTGTTTCCTATTTACAGAGCAAGGGCTGTGTACAAACAGAGGATTGTTTTTAAGAGTACATACAGAACCGACAGCTAGTGGACCGTGAGGAGGCATTTGCTGTATTTGACCTCAAGTATACTGGATTAGAATCACATACCCAACCTTGTATAAAGCTCAGGTTTTCAAAGCACCTGGCTCTAAACAAATAAAGTATATAGTGATGGATGTAAAAAATAAACATTACATAAAAATATCATTAAAAATATCAAAAATTATTCTCATAAAGTAATTTCTTTGTATTTAGTTTAGTGCCATGTTAAATGAATATAAAATATTATACACAAGTGAACAAGTCTCTTTTTGCATGGTTTCATTGCTTTTAATGATGAGCAAATGGATTATAAATTTATTCAGAAAATCCCAGCTTTAAATATATATATATGACATAAATATTTTTATATAGTCATGATAGAAGTCTTTTCAGCTTAGACTGTGCGAAGCATAGTGCTGCAAAATTGTTCCTGACAGGATCTCCCTCATTCCAGTGCAACTCAGTTCAGCGCATTTATTGCAAAGTAAATGCACCGTAAACCCTAACAAGGGGTTGGAATGCAGACATTCCTAAAAAATTAAAGACACCTAAATGATTTACAGGTAAAATCAGCAGTGGAAGCCCTAAAGCAACATGTGAAGACTTTACGAAGCACAGGCTGATTGCTGTGGTTGACATGGAAGTTGTCCAACCAGATGCTCTGAGTAAAACTACTGAAGAATAGGTTCACTTTGTCAGCATGTGTGCAGTCTAAACTATAATACTTCCTGTAGCAAGGACAATAACAACAAGAAGAAGGATACAAGAGAAGAAATCATTGATTGCAGACAAGGCTGTGATGTGTGTTGCTGATGTTGTTGTAAAGCATCCTGCCGGTCTCACCACACTCCGTTGCTGACATCTAAGAAGACAAATTGTTAGTTCAGAGTTTCTAGACAGTTTTCATTCCAACATTCCATACTTTTCCAGACTCAGATTTCAAACTTCTCTGACGATTTTTAGAGTAGTAACGGTAAGGTATTAATAATGGAAATAAATGTGTTGAAACTCCTGTTAACATGTATGTTACATTCTGACTATATATGCTATCATGCTACCAAATAAATGACGAAAGATTGCAGCTAGAGATACTGCTGCTCATATAAATCAGCTAAAACCAAACTCAAAACAAAGTTGAATGCACAGGATTTTATTCAGGCTGCAATGCTAAAACAGTGAGCAACAAGCAAGAGCAACATCTCTTCCCCAGCCACATACTTGTGTTATTTTCCCCTAACATACTGAATAAATAGTATTAGATTAAAGCTTCAGCCACACTTCTTGCATTGCTTTCAAGTTTACTCTGGCCCATGCTCTCTCACACAACAGTAATCATTTTGGATACCTGTTTCAAATGCCATGAAAAATACTCTGCTTGTATGATCAGTTTTTAGTCTGGAAACACAAATGGTTTTTGTGGTGACCAGACCTGGGAATAACTAAAGTCAAATTTCATACATTTCCATACTAGATGGAACCCTATGAGTTGCATTGTTTTACACAAAACAGTTTAGGTAAGTACATGAACAGAGCTTTAACATAAAGACCCATTCTTCACCTGTCTGGGTTATACAACTTCATGGAAGAATTCAGTAAGAGGCGCTACCCTTTAAAACTGATTTAGTTTTTACGGACTAATGACAGTTCAAGTGTTTCCATTCACAAAATGCATCACACAAATAACTAGAGGAAAAACATGAATAAGCAACATGCAGTGCTGAAAGAGGGTATGGAGGCCCTTTATTGTAATTTTCCTTTCCTCTATAACAAGCCCTGACAGCTAACAGTACACAGTCAAGCAGTTTGGGTGGTATTGAGTGTCAGCAGTGTCTGCGGCAGCAGCTAAATAAAGCCAGGCCCCATCAAATCAGTACCAAAGCTAGCTTAACTAACAAAGCCTGCTCCTCATAGGCGCTCCTCTTAGGCTTTTATATACAGTCTATGCTGCTCTCTGAAAAGATTACATACTTTTTAAAACAGCTCAAATCATATTCCTGTTTTACCTAATTTGTAATATTGTTGTAATATCTATATTTGCATTATTAAAAAAGCTGACTGAGTCAAGCTGAGACGTGGCAGATCATTGGTTTGAATCTTTGGAAAAATGGCCTGTCTATTCTATTCTATTAAAGTAAGGTTAACGTGTTCTTGAGAAAAGCACTTAACCCCAATTTGTCAGTGTTATATCTTAGAAGACGATATCATGCAGCCTTGACATTATGTTCACATTAACAATGTTTGTACAGCCCAGGAGTATATTTTGAGTTCACATGGCATAGCTTGATGTAGGATTTGAAGCCTTACCTGTAAAGGGTATTGTCAATTCCCCTTTGTTACACTAACTGGCATTTTTCTTGACTACTCAGCTGTGGCCCAGGTCTTTAATTGTGTGAAAAACTTAGATTCAGCTTGACACCAAAAGAGAAATGTTAGCTCTACTGGGTTCCTTAAATTTCAGAGCACAATAAATCTTTATATTAAAGTACATAAGAAGAAGTAAAAACAAAACAAAACCAACATACAGTTTATGCATCACTAACACTGAAGGCCTGTTTGTATGTCAGTCTGTATACAGGTATAATCAACTGTAATTACCTTTTTATGTCGTCACGTGCATTGTCCACATTATACAGGTACAAGTATAGAGAGGGTCCGGATGCCAGAAGCAGAAATTTGTCAAGGTAATAAAACTGAGCACCTCTAATGGGTTTGGAGAACATGGTGTCGCCCTAACAAAGAGAAAACAGAGACAAACATCAAGCCAATATCTTTAAAATATTGGGACATCTGTAATGTAAGAAAATACATAAAACTAAAATATATTAACCGATTTAAATTAATAGGCCAAGTATCTCATAATAAACATGACAAATGTCTTTTTCTCTTCTTTTTGCAGCAATATTGTTGCACAAACAAAGACAAAGGCTTTAGTAAGATCCTATATAGACTTGTCTTGCAACATACCTCATGTTGCCTGAAAGTAACATAAAGTCACAGCTGAATTTTGATGTTCCGATATAGCTTTTTTTTTCTCAATATGTCACATGCAAAATCCCCAAGTATGAAATGATAATCTGCAGATGAAGTGCCAGTATTAGTAGTGCTACACCAGTAAAACCCAGAGCTATAAACTCGTGGGTGGTCATGGGAGACAAGTAAATCTTAAGTGATTCCTCAAATCTCCATGTTTTTTATCTTCACGGTTCATAGAGAAGTTTTTCATATCAAGCAGAAAAGAAGGACTTAAAGAAAATCTGTTCCATAAAAGAAGGGTGTTGACCTAGGAAAAGGCATCCTCATCATGAACACTTTGTTCTCCTTAAGGACTGCACAGTATTGTCAGAACTATTAGGCCAACAGAAGCACACAGATAGAACATTGAGTCAGACATTTCGCTCTGTCCTGGTTAAGACATTTACTAATCATCCAAAAATATGACATGTAAGAACTCTTTTGACAGAAAGTTTAAGAATATTGCGTGATCCTCTGAGGTTATTTCTTTAAAGTTTTCAAGTATAACTGTGCAAAGCTATTTGTAATTCTGGCTCACCTCGGCATAGCTCTTGTCCCTGAAAAGACTTCAATTTGTTTCCAAGTTGTTTCACAAGAACGCCATGAAATCTAAGCCGGCCAAGCTCAAAACAATCTCAGTGAGTGAAGCAAAGCAGGGATGGTTAGCATCAGCTATGGGGAGACCCTAGGTTTTGAGGATAGACCTTTGTTTTCACTTGGCATGGGAAAGAAGACACACTTCTGACTGTCCCATTAAATCTGATACCCAATGAAGTAAGGAGGCTCTGCATATGATCAGAGTTTTGGAGGCTTTAGCAGATGCCTTGACAGAGAAAGCTGCCATTTATGAGCCAAGAAATACACCATTTCATCATACAATTAATATGACCTTCTCTTTTCGAATTCCATGATGCAACTTTTAGTACAAAAAAAAAACCGTTAAGTTATGCTTTTAAATTATTTTTTATATACATGTGTCAAATACACATTTTGAGCATCAAAGAAATTCTCCTAGGTAAACAGTTTGAATTTTTAATAAATTAAAAACTAATTTGCGAACTGAATTAAAACCCGACTGATACAGTAGTAGTAGTTCGAAGTGGACAAATAGAGTATTGTATGACTATATTGAAAATACAGGCCCCAAAGTAGATACTCAATGCATCAAAAGTGAATACACCTGTGATCACTGAAACAAAACTCAGTCTGTGATTTCCAATTTGCCCAATTGCATGACAATGATTTTTGGACGACCTGTGAACCCAGGAACTTTCTCAGTTTTGGACATATGGGCTGTGTTTATCTGCATGGCTCCACATCAAAAAGAAATGTCAGAGGAATTTAGAAGGAATTCTGACTGTAAGACTTTACAAAGATGAAAAAGGACACAGAAAAATTGATGGAAAAATAAAAATCTGTCAAAACACAGTTGCAGCAGTAATCAAGAGGTATAGAATGAGCCACAGTACCGTTAGCCAGAGCTGTAGTGCTGTTGTCTTAAAACTAGCAACAGACATTGTCATACTTTCACAATCTACCTCTGAAAAACCAACGGGCACAAGTTCAGACTTGGCATGGGGGTATCAGTGGAAATGCGAATTTTTGTTATATCTTATACAATATGAAGGGCAGTGCACAACATCAACCTCGATGGACAGTCCACAAAAAAAAAACTAACAAAACAATAAAAACCTTGCTTGTGCTTTAGCACTAAACTGTAAGATGAAACTAGAATGTTGGGAGCACACTGTTTGGTCATAGGAGACAAGATAAACTTACTCAGCTCAGATTGGGCCCAGCATGTTTGACATGAACCTTGCTAGGACTACCACAGTGAATGCATAGTCCTGACAGTGAAGCATGGAGTGTGACGATATGAAGGAAAAAGGTGTTGGGAAGATGACGTTTATAGATGGCACCAATAATGGCTGTGGATTATCCTGGCTGACAAGATGACTCACAGTATGCAGGAGCTTGGCAAAAGAAGAATATTCCAGCATGATAATAATCCAAAGAACACTAGAGTGAATACTAAAAAACTATGACACCTCTGGGGTATCTTATAAAGAAAGCTAGTGCAACACAACAAGCAAGGGCCAGTTGTAAAAAAAATAAATAAATAAAAATGTCTCTGAAGAACATCTCACCAGAAGTTTGGTATCCTCCATGTTAAGGGATTGAGAATGGAGTTTGTCATTACATATGAAGTTTTCGATTTTCGACACTTAAGGAACAACATGAAAACCTTTTGTTTTATAAAAACATATTGCAAAAAAAGATGATCCTTTAGACACTGTATCCTCACATGGTTTGTCCAGCAGGGTGCACTCCACCTTCTCTATTCACAATGCTTCCAGAACTGTCTGCAGCGCATGTAGCAGAGTACATATCCCAGCTGAACAGAATGTGATGCAGAGTCAAGCGTTGTGTCCATATGGTAAGTTACAGACTAGTTTGTATAATATGTTACTGAAAAGTTAATAAACAATGACCCCACCATTTTTGCCTTTTCAATAAAACTTTAGCATCTCTTATCTGCATTAATAATATAGGTCACCCCTTCCATTACTTTGAACGCACCATACATTTCTCAATGGAGTATGCCACTTTATCACTGAATCCAAATCTGGGACATTCTACTTGAAGGACAACAAATGAGAACATGAACCGAACATTGTGGATCAAGTGCCAACCACACTTGAATGACCGTCTAGCAATCCGTCTAGCAATCATAGCTGTCTTTGAAAACATGTGTGGGAGTGTCTGCAGTTATTTTGTCTTACTTCTAAACCAATGTAAGCTTCAGACTTTCACAATGAGGACATTTTTGTTATATGAGGTCACCCTGACTGGTCCTGGTCATTTCAGTGTTTTCCTATGGTTAGGACTTGGACTTGGAATAATAAGCCAGTGAAAGTTTCATTATGGTTTAAGGTCGGGTGTGTAGTGGTGCTGTGTAAGATTAGGGACTGAAAGCAATGCTTGAAAAACATAACTACAAGTATGTGAAAATTCATAGGGAAAATACCATGATAATTGCAGGTTCTGAGCTGCAGTGGGTCCAGATTCGTAGTGACAGGTCATCTGACGCACTCAACCACCACCGTCTGCCGAGGCTCCAGCTCACACTGCTCACTGGCTTGTCGTGCCCTACATACAAAGAGAGATGTTTGACTTTAACCTGGAAATAAAGTGTGTAGCAGCAACATTTACTTTTATGGCGCTGTTGAGAGAGCCAGGCAGACTGGATAAAAGAGACTCATGGTGACCCACACGTCACCTCAATTTCTGTCCTTTTATCTCTGCTGCCCCCTCGTGGAGTCTGAATTCTTGCTGCTCACGAGCCATCAAGTGCGAAACAGATGCTTGACATGCATGGGTCTCCTTTCTTTCCCTGTCAGTGTTTAAATTTACTGCCTAGGGTCAAGGAGACAGAGCAACTGCTCTCAGAGATACTTCTATTTGTGCAAAATTGTGTGAAATTATGTTCATTTAAATCTAGAAGCTCTTAAAGGGAATGTGCCCCTTTCACCTTTCTTTTAACTAGCTTTTATTGTATGACTAAAACAAAGACCACAGGAAACCAATTCTTGCATTGGAATATAATCAAACAATGCTTTTCTGATAAAAACAAAACTCCTTATCTACAATTTTGACAGTGATAGCTGAGTAAGTGAATTTGGATTTGCCTTGAATCTTTCATCTTAAGCCATAGTTCCATTGATTCATGGATCCATTTCAAAGTAAACTGAAAGTAATCAAAATAGCTCAAATACGTTTGAGCTAAATCCAAGTTGGGGATGAAATTCTTGCTATACATGTCCTCCTCATCTCTTCAACACATCACAGATGAAGTCTTAACCTTAAGTAACTTGAAAATGTAAGCATATTTTGCAAGGCGTCAACTACAAAGCTGTCCTTCAAATGTTATTAACAGAGTGAATCATTCTTTCCATTAAAGAAACATTCAAATGCAAAACCGACAAAAGCACTGAGGTAACAGAGGGTTACAAGGTATGCATAGTCGTGTCCATTCCACAAACCTAAGTAGACAGTTGGATTGCCAGTAAGGCAGGACTTGTACAATAATACTGAGCTGTCGCCAAGACCACACAGGATTTGTTTTCCGTCACCTGGGAGGGACAAGGAAACACAGAATTATTTTATGAAGATTTTTCTCTCAACAGCTGATTTATTACTACCAAAAATGGGCAAGCGGTTTTAAACATAACAGTGAAATGCTTTGTCTGAAACAGGAACAGTCATCCTAAAATAAAATTCTGTAACAGCAGCAGTGGTACTCTCACCCTTCCTGGAGAGGATCATGGACAAAACTGGATGTAATATACAGTCAGCGTTCACTTTATTAGAAACAGAATCTAATAAACAATAATGAAACGCAACTATTTTACTGTGAAGTCTACTTTTATGATGCCTTTTTTCTATAGGATTCAGCTTTTGTGGACACAGTCCATGCACTGACATGGAGATGTGAATTATGTTTTAGCACTGACTGCAGTCATCGTTGGATTGTGTTATATTAAGTCACATTCCTAATCCACTGCCTTTCTCATGTACTGTAGTTAAATGGAAAGAGCAAAACATGGGAAACACCCCTCAGTATAATGTAGTCCAGTACAACACTACCTTACACTATTCCCACAGTAATAAACACACAACTGAATTTACACATTTCTAAAAACGTCACCAAAAATTAGGAGTTTTGTAAGGATACTTTATGAAAGAGCTGCCATACTGAATAGCATTAAAATATCCAGCTGTACATAATAAACTGTCCGTTGAGTGTATAGCTTTAGATCGTTGGCTAAGCAATACTTCAACTATATTAGTGCTGATGAAATACTGTGAATTCAGGCTCCACTGAGTCTCAGCAATTCAAATACATGTATGCCTTCATTCATGTTGTAGAAGCGTGGAGTATCATTGTATGTTCCTGACACCAGACCATGGGAGGGTTTGGGGTTGCAATTGAGGGCTCACATGTACTTCACACTTTACACAGACCTAACAAGGATGGACACAGGTCTAGGGATAGGATTAGGTTAACTACCCCTGGTAACTAAATAGAGCAGTTGCAATGACATTTACTACAAACCCATCCAGTGCCCATTTAAGTCAGTGTACATCCAACCTCTAACAGAGGTCGATGAATCTATTTCTAAGTGCAAAATATCTGATCCTCCTCCTTCTCTCTCTGCCTACTCACACTTTTTACATGACAATTTTGTCTTGATTTTAACCAATGTTAAAACAGAAAAAAAGTTTCAGTGAATGCGTATCAAAAAGAGAGAATTATAAAAATTATTTACCTGAATACTGAAGGCATGAGATTTGTTTCTTTGTAATGCTTAGATCGATACATGGAACAGTTGGTGCCGCACTGTCTGCTGGGTAATCTCTGTGGAGTAAACCTCTAAACGACAAAAGCATGTTAACTGATCACATGTAAAATCGACTTCCCTTCACTATATTCTCAATGAAAGTAAGATGAACTGCTTACGTTTTGTTGGTAGCCTTTTTTGGGGAAGAATGCTTCTGAACATTTGTTTTGGGTGAAAACATTGTCATTCTGAAAAACAAAACCAACACTTCCTGTAATGTTTCATTATTAAATTTATTTGTACCATCAAACCTCATTTCAATTGTGTTTTTTAAGATTGTCTTTTAGAGTGGTAAGAGAAACAGTTAAGTGCTCTGTAAAAGTCAAGTGCTATGACGGACAGCATTTTGTGGATGCCTTTTATCTAAATAGTGTAACATCTGTGATGCATGTTCATATGGGCAGTCCTAAGAGACACTGAAACCATAATAGAGACTCAGTGGTGGTTGAAAGGGCTTCTACAGTGTTTCTATTTTTGTCTTCTCCATTTTACACATGTGCAATTCTTACTCAACACTGTCTGGCATTGTGGCTCTGCCATATGCAGCAATACATGAAAGAGTCTACATATAATCACGCATGCACAAAGTAGTACTTTTTTTTTTTTTGCTTACTGTAGCTGTCGTATCAACTGTCATTGCTTAGAAGCTTTAATATTATGCTTCTCCAACTGAAGTAGCATACCGCTACAGAAAATCAGGCAATCCAAGAAGTCTCTTGAATAGGTACTTTAAATTTTCTATTTGCTCAATTGTTTAATATTCTAATAAATTGCAATTACATTTTTTTTATCTAGCAATAAGTTACTCTGCTAACATACCTTGGGGCACTGGTGTATCCAGATGACTTCACTTTTGTGTGGAAAACCAGAGGCTGGTCCTTTATACCTCCTTTGTAAAAATAAAAGATGGTCAAAGACTGGCAGACACAAGTTATTGCATTAGTATAAACTGTATGATCTACAATATGCACATCCAAAGCAAATATTAAATATACTAAAAGAAAGTGAATGTTTAGAAATGAGTAATGCTATAAAGATAGAAGGATATTATTCCTGTAATTACAATGTAACTCCTTATTATATTGGAGTGAGTTTCATGGGTTATACTGGAAAAGGAGGACTTTAGATTACTGGGTGACCACTCTGTGCTGTGAGTATTAAGTGCATCAGCCACAAACTGTGGGATGGTTCATTCTGCTCCCTGTTCGCTGTCAGTGCCTTTACTATATTACAATGAGCTCACTTTTTCCATAGCCATTAAAACGTGTGAGGCTTTCCAAAAACTATTCTCCTGTCAAACACAGGCGAAGTAAGAAGAAGTCACATAATCTCAGAGTGGCAACTTAAGTTGCATCAGAAAAAAAATATATACAGATTTAGTCTAAAGCCTCGACTGCAACTCAACACTAGTTCATTATCAAACCAGAAATTACCCTGTGAAGTCTATTTGTCTAGGATTACTACTAATTAATTAACATTAATTAGTCAATTAATTTAGTGAGCAGACAAAACTACAAAATAGTAAATGTGTTTGAGCTCTTTCCATGCAATTTAACACATAATAAACTGACAGTACCTTATTTTGCAAAGTCTTGCAGGTTAGTGACAAATTACTATTAAACATGAAAACCACAGACTGATGGGAGCTGCTGTTGGATCCTGACTGATGTGCTGTGAACACATCAATGTGACTGATGTAAAAAAATTCATCATTTTGAGTGATGTCAGGTGAACCTGAGAAGAAATCAAAAAAACACTGCTATCTTACAGTGAAGCTGGCAACAGATGGCACACAAGTCAGTAGTTTTAATCTGACTATATATCTTAAAATGTATCAAACTTGCACTGTTAACCAACTGCCTATAAATCAGTACTTTTAAGGCTCTTGTACAATACAGTGTTGGCAAAGTCAGAACGCAATAATAAAGATATTTAAAAGAGTAAAACCACCCAGTCAAAAACAAAAGAAACACATCTGGATCTCCTGTCAGTCTCCTCTTATCTGGGAGTGCTTTTCATCTTTGATCAGTCGAGCCAGCATTCACTACAAGCTTTAGCTTGAAGGTCATTTTCCTGCAAAGTATGTTTGACATCAGTTGGATTTTGAATTTAAATTTGAGATACATCCTAGGTATGTGTTGTTCTGTCGATCTGCTCATTCCCAAAGAGAGCTATGCATGCTGTGTTTCTATAAAAGCAATATTCCTATTTCTGTCCTTTTGTCTTGTTTAGTTCCTATTTTTTCCCCTTTAAGATTCTTTTTCTACCAGATGTTTACAGAGCAAATGAAAAAGCTTCAGTGAACTTGATATTTAACAGAGGTTAAAGTAGTACTTTATAGTTTCTATTAGCAATGACCTTGAGAACTTGTCTTGTGACAATGGTCACTTTCATGTAGATTTTGATCCAGAACAGACTCTATGCAGAAAACTAAGCATTTTGGGCCAAAGATCTAATTACCTGACGACGCAATCACCTGGCATTGCTCCACAGCCCTATTGACCCCCTGCTGATATATAATGGTCATTTAGTTTTATGGGGCAGTAAAAATCTCATAATTTACGCTGACTTTACACCAGACGCTATTTGAAGCAAAGTGAGACTTTCAGACAAATTTCCAAGTCGAGTCATATCTGCGTAAAGTCACAGCAGTTTGCTCTGTGCTCCTTTTATAGCTCTCATTATGTGAGATTTAGCCTAACGACAAAAATTATTCAAAAATGTTTCATAACATTGAAATCCTTCATTCTACCTCAAAACACCAGCGCGTTTAGTTTCTAATGCAACAGCCAAAACAGCAAAACCATTATTGTAATAATGAGGTATTGTCTGCAATCACAGAGTGCACAAGGTGTTAGGGTTTGCACCTGTGGGACCAGAAATCATACGTGGTTGTTAGCATTAACAACTTAAAATGTGTATTGCTTATTTGGTTCCTGGGATTATATGACATGAGATTTTTTCAAAAACTCTACTCCACTAACTTTTGTTCAGAGTCAGAAAGCAGTAAGTGGCATAACTCAGACCTCCCTCTGAGTTAGTTGAACGCAACCCAAGAAAAATTCAAAATAATTCAAGCGTCTAAAAACGTATAAACCCTGGCAGGTAGAGTATATACATATCTATATATATATTACAGATATTTTGGCTATGACCAGAGTCTGTGGTATGAGTTATTGCTTTACTGACCCGTGAAAAGTGGAGCACACAGGAGTAGAAAGGAGTGAGAGTAGAAGTAAAAAGGCAGCAGTAGCACAGAGGCTGTAGGATGACAGGAGTTACAAACATGGAGCCATAGTAAGGCCCACTGGGTTACTCATGGTATTGTCATGTGATCTGTATCTGGAAACATTATCTGGATAATGACATCTGTTCCATGGAGTGTTTCATTTGCATTGTATTAAAATGATCTCAATTTGATACTACTACGACTACAACTTGCAGCTTTTGCAAGGCTTCTTTGTGTTAACAGTAAAAAGCAGAGTTAGATGACCTGTTGACCTGTTTTTTCCTCAGTAGTGATCACTACTATAAGGATTGCATTCATGCTTGGCTGTGATCTGAACAAAGTACAAGCCTGACCACCTCCATATGTGGTACGGCTGATGTGATTAAATTCTGATCCTCATGTGCTCTGTGCGCATTCGTACCTTGTATTAAAACACATTTTCCTTTATCCAAAAAAAGTTATTTGGATACAGATTGCATGTTAATGCAACAGTTCTGGTGCATGTTAACAGCAATAGAAATGGTGTCTGAACCATATGCTGACCATCTGGAACATATATGTAGCACAGTAAAGGGAAAATGCACAAAGGGGGCAAATAATGCACCACTGTATTACTAGTACAGTGTCCAATAAACAGAGAACTGGATGTTTATTAGGTGCACAGAACAATATTGAAGCTACTGTAAACAGTGCCAACTTTAACGATACTTAAAAGCGTGAGAGACTTCCCTCTTTCATTCAGACTGGACTAGTCAGGACTTAATTAGTCTTGCATAGATAGAACTATCTCCACAGAGCTGTATCAGTGCTGGATAATGCTCTGGCTAGACGTCATGATTGTTCTGCCAGAAGAGCAAAAACGCTTTGCCGCATTTGTATCTCTTTAAACCAATCACAATCGGTGCAAAGCCCAGGATGTAGTGAAGGTGCCCCTGCAAAATAGTGGTGGGGTACTGTTTTGTTGGGACGTTTGCAAGCAAGTAGGCGAGCATTGTCATTAAAATGGAAAACTCACCAAACAAAGCAAGATTTGTATAATCCAACTCTTCAGCAGAGCTTGACATTCTCAGCGTACTGGTTGCTAACTTTGAGGTTGTTGCTTTTGCTTTCTATAGTGAAGGGCATTTTGACAGTGGCAACACACAGATAGCAGAATGGGAAGAGAAAGCCATATGAAATCTACATCTGGTGAGTCATGCTAAACCCTCAACATTTCTTGTCCCTCACAGATTGTTTTCTCAAGTCATCCTACCTTAAAAAGCTCTGAAAAATAAAACTGATATTGATGCTTTCTGATCTATATCACGTCGAAGTAAAATGATGTCTTGCAGCAGTCATTCAGTTGATATTACTGATGACTAAGAATCTAAGGCTGTCTCCTCTTTTGAAATCATGTCTTTTTTGTAGAAATTAGGGGAAATTACAGTACCCTTAACTTCCAGTACATTTATATGTTCCCGACAAAGAAATGTTAATAAACTAGTTTATCTGTATTTTCATGTTTGGTGTTATTGGGGAAAGGGTTCAAAGTGAGTTCTGAATATGCAGTCAGGATTATTCAGTGCTAACTGCTGTTTTAGTAATCCTTACTGAATACCAACTTAATCCAGGCAGCAAGACCCAGGAATTATACTATACATCATACAAAAAGTAATGGCAGCTGATTATCATCATCTCAAGAGCCAACAGTCCTGGTTCCTTTCATGATTATGTTACATAGCAATTTGACATGACAACAGATATCTAATCGGCACTCACAGCTCTTTAAAAAAAAAAAAAAAAAAGGCTGCTTCAGACTCGTGCCAGACTTACAATGGAAGAACATTTTCCTTTCCAGGAGTCTCAGAGGTTTATGGTGTAATTTGTATACAATACTGCAGATATCTTTAAGAGTACAGAGATGCATGGGGGCAGCATGGTGGGTGAGTCCGTAAATGTTTGTGGTTTTTGGTCTGACGTTGCAGTCACACGGCACTGCTAGACTTCCTCGAAGATCCCCTACATAGTCTGGCACTGGCAAATCCCTTAACTCCAGCTGTGGGGAGCCCAGCTAATACTGGCTTTCTCAGCACTAACTCTCTGTAAGAGCAACATGTAAACCTCAGTATACTGTAGGTCTCCAGCAGAATAGTTTCAAGCTGCCAGGTCCTAATGATACACCAAAGAAACACAAAACGGCTCACTTTACCAGTGAATGCAAGCAGCAAGCATAGAAGAAAAGTGGGTTAATGTGAGAGAATCACCCGAAATGTTTCACACTTTCACTGATGCAAAAACCTGTTAACGTTGGAAATGAAAACGGAAGGGAATGTAATAATAAACGCATCCACACTCAGCACAATGCAAAGGACAGAATTTTACATGTGCACTGTACTTACAGTTAATGAGGATGTTTTTAGCAGCTCTTGTAATAGCCAAACAGACTTTTTATAAACCTACAAGTACGATTTAAGAGAACCATCTGTGGCCAAGAAAAACAGACAACGAGCCATTCATGAGGTGAACTATATAATGGGTCATACTTTTAAAACCCAAAGTCATCAAACAGCAGTAGCTCCCTTTTTATTATACGTGAATGAGCGTAGGTGAGAGGTGAGTGAGTGAGTGTTCAGACAGCTACAGAGATGCTGACCTTTCTTTTTAGGATGGTTGGGTTCCTT